TTGAGTTTGAGTTTGAGTTGAGTTTGAGTTGCGCGATGGGAGGCTTTTACCTGGTCAAGAAAAATATTTCTAATTCCATTTTCCGTTGAAAATATGCTTCAAATTGCGAAATTGCCGAATGTTTACCATTCCACTTTACTTAAGTCTTTTTATCAAACAATTGCCTTACAAAAGTTGTCATTCGTTTGGCCATCACCCCACATCTTTATTATATGGTAATCTCACCTTATTTTGAAGCAAGTGTGAGCCGGTTTTAGGCGATTTTGTCGGATTTTAAAGCTTAAAATCTATTATAACTGAAGAACTTTCGACAGATTACATGAGAGAATCCTTCTTATTTATTATKTTTTCTGTCTGTCCTTTCTTTCTCTCAATTTTTCTCTCTTTAATTTTTTTAACATGCGCGTGCTATACGCGTTATAAGTGAAAGCTTTGAGGTATATTGCTTACTTGGAAAGTTATTAAAGATGTGAATGGTGTTTCAAATACAATCCACATCTTAAAGTTATTAAAGTTAAAGTTATTAATAAGTTATTGTTTTTTCTTTCCTTTGTTCCTCCCCCCTTACCTTCCTTTTTTCTTTCCTTTTCTTTCTTTCCCTTTCTTTCTTTTCTCTTTCCCTCCCTCCCTCCTATTCTTTCTCCTTTCTTCTATTTTCCCCTTCCTTCCTTCCTTCCTTCCTTCCTTCCTTCCTTCCTTCCTTTTCGTTTGTTTGTTTTGGTTCTTACTACTACGAAATATTCCAATTTTATCAAATAAATCTATAAAGGGTTTCAACTTGTACGGAATTTGGAAAAAAAGGTTTCCGTTATTGATTATGCCACCAGGAAAGGCAGAATCTCATCCTGAGGTCTGTTTTTAATTTCCGCTTTTTCCTGACTTTATCAGCGTATGTGATCAGCTATTAAAACGAACCTTCTATTTGGCCTTGGGGGAGAATTAATGATACAAAAGAGCAGTTTAGATACGAAAAAGATAGAATTAAGCTATAAATAGGACGTGCTAGTTTTCATGATGGTGAAAAGGCGACAAATCTTCTTAGAATGAAATATTGAATTTTTGTTGTTGGCATAATCACGGAACTATTTTACCAAATTTTGTACACGTTGTTGAGACACTTTTTTCTATTTAAGCCGTAGCGTTTTCCATTTCAGATCATGTGTCATTCTCTATAGTATGATTCTTTTGTGTGTCATGAACGTTATTTATATGGTTTAAGAATATTTTTCCCATGTTAGAGATAAAAAGACATTTCGCCCAAAGTTATAGGGCCTAGTAAAGGACTTTATCGGTGTTATATTTATTTAAAATGGHATGTCATTCCCTTGAGTATTACTTCTTTGCTTACAAATTAGGTCTAGACGAAAACACATATTTACAATTCATAAGGCACTTGAAAGATAAGAGGTTTGAAATGAAGATACAGAGCTATAATAATGCTCAACCGAAAATGTTTTTCTAATAGCTTACTTCCATCCAGCTGAGACCCATCACTGCTCAACACGCTCATTTCTCYCAGTAAATTTCTATTTCAAACCTTGCCTTTTACACCGTGAAAACGATGTCTACTTAAATTCAGCTATACCAAAAAATACCAAAAAATACCCAGAAATAATAATAATAATAATAAAACGAGGATTTTAACAAACGGAAGAGTTTCACATCAAAGTGCCATTTGTATTTTCTGCGGTCAAAAAGATTGCCTATAAATCAAAACGTCAAAAATATAACATGAAAGTCGTAAAAATAAGCATGATCAGTAAAAGTTATTCTGCCAAAGAAAGCATTTTTTTTTTTTAGCCCAAGGGCTTTGAGAGATCATAAACGAGACAAAAATGAACGTACTTAGGTAATAAWATGCTAATTGTTTCAAAATTCGTATTTTTACTCTTTATGCAAAAACAACTATTCGAAAAAAATTAAATTTGTTAGATGCCAAAATACTGGAGGGAAAATATGTACCAAAGATAGTTTTGACTGAATTTAAGAATTCATAACTAAAGGCAACATGTTACTAAAGGCAAGGCTCCATGGGTAAAGGCACAGGGAGCCCAAATTAGATAACAGTGTTAGACGATCGGAAATTTGGAAATTTGGAAAAATGTGCTAAATAATACGAGAAAAATTTATTTTCGTCACTGAACACCATTTATCTAATATGGGCTCCCTGTGGTTTAGGACCTAAAGTTAATCGACAAAAATATTTTGTGTATTTTTCTATTTAGGAAGCAAACAAATTCTTTTTTTTTTTTTTTTTTTTTTTTTTTTTTTTTTTTTTTTTTTTTTCTACTAATAACTTTACCTCACTCTCTAACCCTAGAAAAAACATTATCACAATTGTTGACACATATTTGCCACTTAACGGTAATTAACACTGCGTCGTTTTCCTCTAACGTCAAAAAAGAAGTATATATTTTTGGGAGAAAAAACTCATCGTTAATCACGATCAAAAGTACAGCAGTGGCGCAGCTCAACAGGATCGAACTGAAAGCATATGAAAGCGCCTCTGGCAGTCGCTGCAGTGAATGTATGACCTCGGAGCACAGCTCTAACCAGTTTGTATTAGTTAGGGTTGATTTGAGAGGAGGGAGGAAACCCCGGAGGGCCGAAAACCCTCGGAGTCAGAAAGAGAGCCTACCAACTCAGCTCACAAGGGGCGCCATCCTGAATCCCCAAAAGGAAAGATATCTTTTCATTTCTTATTTTGATTGTCGGTGACTTGCTCTTAGTGATATATAAACTTTCAACTTAAACGCCAAATTCGTTGTCTATCGGTTCTATTAGCACCGGGAATCAGAGGAAAATCAATTTACTCCAAGTTACCCTCCCACTCGATCTAAAGCTCGCGATCGAGTTCTTTTCGTCATGACTCACCTGTCTGGTTATTCGGTTTGTATCGTCGTCTGCTTGATCCTTCGTCCATTCTTCTTCCATTAATGTCAGTCTGTGTTCAGCATTTTTCAGCCATTCTACGAGCTGCGTAAAATCTTCTTGTGCATCGGTACTGGTGTCTCGTTTCCACACTTCATCTTCTATCTACAAAGACAGTCATTGGAATAAGTAAGACTTTAATAGCTCTTCCAACATAATCAACTTGGTTGGAATGATCTAGATAACCCAATATCGGCCATTAGCTCACCCAGAGTCTACTGTATCTCAGTGGTAAAGCCCCGGGTAAAGCATATAAATAGAATAAGGAAGGCCATGGGGGCAATTCCCATTTCTGAGCTCCCTTACTTTCTCTGTGACACGATGAATAATTTAATTTACTATTATTATTCCAGCGAAAATTACCCTACAATTTGACACAAATAAATGTTGGATATCTACTGAGGTTGTGAAGTCTGGCGAGTTTGTGACAAAACAATAAAGGCAGTGGTTCACTGTTATTGGCACGCCAAAGACAGGAAGTAAAACTTCACGAGGTACAAACATACGGAGATAGTTTGACCATTAGCCGGTTGAGTAGGAAGAAAACTGCCTCGAGAGATTTCATAATTCCTTGTTCAAAAAGTGCACTTTAAAAATGAAGAAAGTCCTCAAGTAAAACAAGGTAAATGGTCTTCACTTTCTTCAGATAATTACGACCTAATTAAACTAGACTATATACCTTTTAAAGCTTTCGCCTTTAACAGCCCTGGAAACGACTAAATTCAAGCAGAGAGTGGCCTTGAAAGTTTGCTCGATGGCAAAGCGTCCATCGAGCTAAATTTAAAACGCAGCGTAAACCAAGACGATTTGTCGTATATATACAAGTTTGTTTACGATTCTGTCACATTCCCTAAAGAAACATGATCTCTTGAGCGTCGTATCGAGTTTAAATCAGAGCGTTTTAACAGAAGGTTAAAGTTTGTGATTACATTAACAATATTTGGGGTCGCTGCTTTGTAACCAAGCGAAAGAGACTAAAAATATACGATATTTTTTGATGTTTTTCGTCATTTTAAAGATCRAATTGATTGAGTCTTTGGTTCAGTATTGCCATTGTCAAAGTTGACATAGAGATTTGACTTCAAGTGAGAGGCGTACCGCAACAGAGATACAACACACATTAACTAGTTTATCTACGAGTTCAACCAAAGCAAACAATTACAAATATTCAGGAATAGTGTTTATGTTGACATTAAATCGAACAGTTTGTAAATATGCTGAAGTGATTAGCAAACAACGCCCACTAGTACCGCTTGGAATTTAGGGGGTTCCTTTTCTAAGTTGTCTTTTTTCCACACTCTTTTTTTTTTTTTTTTTTTTT